TAGTTAATATTCAAAATACTATGATATACAACAGATAAAAACATATTTTTTATATATACAAACATAATTCATGTCATATTATTATTATTTTTTTTTGGGGGGGGGGGGGGTAATTAAGCCGGGTCACTTGCAAATAAAAGGTTTGCCGGATTTTAATAAGACTTAATATTAAGTTCCTTATATATACTTTACAATTATCATGATATATATTGTTAACCCAAAAATCAGTGGCGGATCCAGAGGGGGAGGGGGGTACAGGGGTTGCACTCACTTGGATTTGTTAAAAGAGAGAGAGAGAGAAAGAAGAAAAGTTTTGTTGTGATTTTACAAAAGAAAATGTTCAGTGAAGGGCTCATGAAGAAATTCGATTGCGAAAATAACGTGGAACTCTTACCACCTTACAAAATAGTATTTTTGGGTTCCTTTCTCTGTACTTTGTCATCATTGATTTTGATTTTGAAAAGGGGGGGGGGGCAGCCATAGGAAATGTTTTTTAACCTACCAGAAAAAAACTTGACAAGCAAAATTTAAAAAAATAAAGATAATTGCCCAATGGAAGGGGGTGGAGGGTAGGTAAGACTTCTTTTTCAGTACAAAATTTTCTAGATATAATACTACATTACACTTATTTGACCTTACTTTAACTATAAGTGGGGGAGGGGGGGGGGGGCAACCAGCCTTCAATGAAAATTTTAAAAAGTAAAAAGTTATGTTTGCAAAAAAAGGTGGGGGGACCCCCCTGGCCCTGTTGCTGCGTGCCTGTTTGTAAAGAAACTTTCAGGTAATCTATAATTTTCCCCCGGCTGATGACCTCCCATTTTACAAACAATACAACATCCTTATAGTTATAACCTATTAAGTTGTTTAACTATAATATATATATAAACGTACGTTAAAACAAAACGTTTCCCCCTTCAACCCCTCCCCCTTTTTAAAAAAATTCTAGATCCGCGACTGCCTTAAACTACCCTTTCATATCATTATGAAAAAAAAGTTGCCTTTATTTAATTATCATTTCATATCATCAGGATGAAAAATTTGCTTTTACGAGGGTTGTCCGGTAAAATCGTGGACAAAGCGTTTTTCTCGAAAAATAATGGGCCCATGAAGCTAAAATTTTCAGCAAATGTTTATATATCATTTTTAAGTGCATCATATTTTTTAAAATAAAATATACACAAAAATAAAGATTTTATTAAGCTTGAATGTGCGCCGGGTACGGTCCTACGGCATTCTCTCACCAGAGGACGCTACGCAAGATTCACTTGTACAAATTTGTCCGATGTCAAACATGCAGCTCACATTGCTTTAAGATTAACCCTTGGATTTCAACCATTTATATATAAATGTAACTCTTTCTTTCTGGTTCACTCTCTCTATCCTCTCTCTCTCCTAAAAATTATTATAACGTTGGTGTTGGAATTCACTTATTTCTAGTATTACATGAGAGCTAGGTGAATCAAAGTAAGGAATAATCAGATTATCATCATGCATGATTAAATAGTTTGGTATTGTGATTTTTCGAAATTTATAACAGTGTAAGGAGTCTTTTACACACAAAAAGTCGCATCTTGGTGCAGTGATAGTATTTGATTTTGAAAACAATAGCATTAATCGGATTGAAGTGTCTTTTTGTCCAATTTTGCCCCGCAAGCTATGCTATAATTGTTTGAGATTCTTCTTCTCTGTTCCTGGGCATTAAATAAACTACATGTAACTAAGTGCATAGCTATGTTGAATAAGTCTGCCTCTTCCAAAATTGTGAATTTCATGGCCCCAGGGTCAGGGGGTTTTAGTTTTAGGGCGGGGCTATATAGATTATATAGTAAAAAATGAATTATTTCTTTGAAAATCTTCTCTGCTCCTGAATATTAACTTAGCTAACCAAGTACATGTTGAATAATTCTGCCTCTTCCAAAGTTGTGAATTTCATGGTCCCTGAGTAGAGGATTCAGGAGTTATGGTGGGCTTTATTGATTATATAGTGAAAATGCATTAATTCTATAAAAATCTTCTTTTCTGCACCTGGGCATTTGACCAATGAACTATGTACATAGTTATGAGGAGGGAGGATGCTTCTTTGAGATTGAATTTCAGGGCCCCTGGGTCAGTGCTTCTTATGTTAGGGCGTATATAGTGAAAATGCATGGATCCTTTGAAAATCTTTTCCTTTGTTCCTGGGTATTATGACAATGATCTTAGTATGTATTTATGATAAAGAAAGTTGCTTCCTCCAAAAATGGTTAATTTCCTGGCCCCTGGGACAGAGGTACTTGGGGGGGGGGGAAGTACATAGTCTGGAAATAATGTAATGCTTTGAAATATGCACTTTGGTATATAATCAACAACATGATGAAATAAAATTTAAAAAGTTTCCAACATTTTGAAAGATGTGGCGACAGGGTCAGTCTTTCCTGTGGGATGGGGTGCATAACTGATAAAGTGGAAATGCATTTTCTCTTTGTTACTCTGATCTACCTTTAAGTATTAAGTAACCAAAAAATTGTGAATTCCATGGCCTCTGGTTTAAAACATGAATCAAATTCATTTGTTAGAAAGTTGTTGCATGATACTCAGGTGACCTATAGCCTCTTGCTTTTTTTTTTTTTTTTTTGAAAGGATGGGGGGGGGGGCGTCAGAAAAATTCATCTGATCTGAAAAACATTGACATGGAAAAAAAATGAAAGGAAAATACCACAAAGTTAATTTTTTTTAGCGGGGAGCTAACTTCGGCTTATTTAGCAGATTTGTTTTAGCCCGCTAAAATTCTCTAAACGCTAAGTTTGCACCCTAGTTTAGTGATAAGTAAGTAAGTAAGTAAGTAAATTTTATTTAAAGTCGGCATTGTATACATTACATAACAAGAAACATGAGCTCTGTAGAGCTCTTAAACCGATTATTACAGTTAAAATATCACAAGAAAACATTTACAACATAAATAAATATACAAAAACACATGTACATATATACACATACATATATGGCAGATAAAACGAATTTCAAGAATTAACAAATGTTAAGAATTTATATTTTCTTTAGAATTAGTTAAAGAAAAAAAAACAAACTTGAAAAGCAATATGATTGCATTAAGAGGAACAAAAATAAATATAACGTGAGTATTTTAAATAAATAAATAAAAGTCATATGACAATAATAAAAATTAAGCACTACGTTTAACCCTTAAAGTCAGATTAAAAATAACTGTTCTATTAATAATAATAAAAAATAAATAAATAAAAAACGATAAATAAATAAATTTAAAGTTTAGAAAATTAAAAATTCACACAGACATAGCTAAACCAAATTGAGAAAGAAAAAAAAATGATATATGTTCCTCATCAATACACATCCTGCCTAGTGATTGGGTCAGTCCCTACCTACATAGGCAAGATATGCATTGTTGTGAGGGTAAAGAAAAAAAAAATCTTCAGGAGGCCAAATATTGAAAGAAAATAGAATCCTGCATGGAGAGATTACACCGTTGCCATCATAAGATGTTACTCCAAAGGTTTCAGTTTCAGTCCCCAGGGCCCTTATTATAGGAAATTTTTAAAGTAAATAACAGGGTTTAATTTATAGATATAAAAGAAACACTAGAAAACAATAAAATAAAATGAGGTGATATCAGTAAAGCAAATGAAAGATTTCAAAAATAAATGAAAATTTCAAAAATAATAATAATTAAAAAAAAAAACTACATGAATAAATAAATAAATATTGTCTCATCAGCTATGCAGCCCCCATGCTGTGGTTTCTGCAGGAACTACATTTGCATTTTTCCTCCGTCCATGTTTCAATGATGATATCGAGAACAAGAGACACAAAAACGATCAGCCTATATTGCCAAATGTTATATAGTTTATTAGTTTATTTTGTATTTTTCTTTTTGTTTTCAAAAACTCCTAACGTAATGAAATTCATTTTAAATCTGAATTTCATCTCTTGCAGCAGCATGGAATCTTATCCGCAAAAATAATTGGCATGCTTTGATCAAGCAAATGATTAAAAAAAAAACGCTTTTCGATAATGTTAATGCCGAATACAGGAAATATAGGTCTCTTTTAGGAATTCGTAGCAGCAAAGGTTTCGGCAATAATTTCCCATCAAGTTTTATGTACATGTAGATGGAAATTTTCGTAAATGAGGATATTCATAAATGCAGATAATTTCAGTACTAGTGAACAATTCTTTTCAATTCTATACTTACATTGTGTATATGAGGTCTATAGTATTCAATTCTCGGATTTATCAGGTCTTGCTGTAAATGTATCTGATTCTGTGGAAAACCGTGAATAAAGGGAGGAAAATAAACATCTCCTACATTTTCAGAGTTGTTCCTCTTTGATCAGTAAGGGTCTGAGAACAACATCGATTTTACATTGTAAAAAGATTTTTGTTTATTTATTGTTGTTTTATTTAATTAAAGAAAAAAAAAACAATATTTATATCGTAAATGCATAAATTGTATAATGAAGACCATTAATCGGAATGTTATATAGCCAATTGAACATAATGAGAATTTCGGCAATGACAATGTAAAATAAAATTTTCAGAATAAAAAAAATGCGCTTTGATCAAAAATACAATTTATTGTATATGAAATGAAATAAACATTAAGGGATGGTATTTTATGTCTTGCTTTTTACGGAGTTTAATCGAGTTAATTAAAAAAATGCTTATTGATTGAGTATGGTACGCACAATCACAGCCAAGCCCCATATCCCAATTTTCTTTCATGCTTGATATGTATCGGGATCGTTTTACTCGTCGTTTTGACGCTTTATTTTTGACGTTAAATTTGACGTCACATCAAACGTTCAATTGAAACCGCAAGAGTTATCTCCCCCAGTGTGTTGTACGTCTTTAACAGCCACAAAAAAAAAGAAAATTTGAAACAAAATGTGAGATGATTGGATATCGTTTCATCCACTGTGACGTCATGTGACTATGACGTCACTATAGTCCCGTTTCTATTATCTCAACAACAATGGAATCGGAAAACAGACCTCGCAGGTTTATGAATTTTTTTAGACGCATAAGAAAAAGAAATCGTGTTAACGTTTACATTGAAAGACCTGATACAGAAGCATGCCAAGCCCGTCCAGCAAGGAAAGGTCTGCTGAATAGAATGAGGGACGCGTGGTCAAGGATCAAAAGAATAGGAAGGAATCGTGTACACCCTCAGACTCAAGAATCCTCTGGTTCATTACCTGATGCAGAGTCAGAAAGCTTATCTGAATTATCACTTACAGAAGGGATAGTTCTGTCTATTGATAGAACGCCATCCCTTATTTCACTAGTAGAAAGTCCGGCCAGGACTTGTCTGATTCCGTATAACGAGGAACCCGACAATGTGTTGATAGCGTGTTTTGATAGAGACTGAGGTAATAACAGTTATTTATTTTAAGAAATGTTCAAAATATTTAAGTTAACTTTGAAAATACATGCACTAATACACATTCATAACTTCTTTTTCAGCTTTCAGTGAAACTGTTTTGCCTTTTCCAAGAAAAGAAACCCTTGCAATGCTGTCATTCTTCAACCAAGGGATCAAGGGAAAAACATTTATACAAACGAGCTGACCCCATACTTTTACTTAGAAGTATGCATGTTGCTGGAAAGTGAAAAAAGGAAATGTATTAACTGACGGGATGTGGGACCATGTTGTAACTGTAGAAAATGTCACAGTGCAGATCGAATGAAAACATACACTTAAAAATTACTTTTACTATCAAGTTATTCATTTTATCTGGTATTATTTCATGTTTTGTTTTTGAATTGAGCAAGTAATATTTTTTTCTTTGCGTTGTTTTTGTTTGTTTCTTCTTTTTCGTTAAATAACCTAGCTGAGTCGGGTCAGTGAGCTATTTATCTTTGTCTTGCATTGTGTCTCTAGCATTAAAATGTTTCAGCGTCTTCCCTGAAACCGCTAAATCGCACGATTCCAACCAATTTTGACCGTGCAGAAAAATATCTATGGGTAAACCGTAGTGGGAAGTAAAAGTCAACCTCCGGGAGGATGGACTGAGGCGTGGGGCTAACTCAAAATGTGGGGGGGGGGGGGGTATATGAGACCTGAGCACGGAGAAAGTTTTAAAAACTACTAATTTTTGTGTGCTCTCATTAATTATCTTTTGTATAAGAGTGATGTTGATTCAAAGTTATGCAGTAAAACATGGAAACGCGTCAGTATAGGTACTTTGCAGTTCCTAAGTAGTACTTGTATGAAAAAAGTCAGAGGTGTTCATATAATTATGCTGAAATTGTCTTTGTTCATACAATTCAGGACCATGTTATAAAACAAAGGACTATTACCAATTCTACTTTCGTAATTTTTGGTTATTCTTTACGGTGATTTACATGAAATTTTATTACGATTAAAGAGAATTCAATTAATTTATATAATTTTATATAACTATACTCTCCAAAAATTTACAAGTTGTAGATACTTAAAAATGTGTACAAATTTAAGGCTTTGTTGTTAGTTCAAAGGTTCTGTTGAATCTCGAGAGAAAAAAAATAACACATGCATTTATTATTATATTTAAAGCAATATGAGCTGCAATTTTGAGAATTTTATTATTTTTTGCTGGTAAAATGTGTTATCATGATTAATTTGTAAATAATTTATACACTTATGACCAATAAGCCCAAAATATAGTTTTATAAATGTTTCAGAAGAAATATTGTGTACAACCGAATATACAGTATTACACAAGAAATCATTATTGTACAGGACGACAATAATTCAATTTTGCTTCAATCAAAGCTAATAAAAAATTTTCCATCGCAAATATGAACAACAGAAGTTTATAAATGTTTTATTTTTCTGTCATTGAAATAGTTACACTTGTAAGTGAAGCTTGCGTAGCGTCCTCTGGTGAGAGAATGGGTCCTACGGCGCACGGTCAAAAAGCTAAGGTTTTATTTGAGAATACACGAGTATTACTTCGAAATAAAAGTTTGAAATGGATAAGATTGGGGTAAAAATTATGCTTATTCGATTCCATAATCCATCTTGTCGTCTTTTTAAAAAATTCAAGGCACTTGGTTAACTTGGTTAAACACGGCGCACCGGAGAGCAATTCAGTTTCATTAAGATGTTGTTCATAATGACACCTTAAGAGACTTTAAATAAATACAGAAAAAGAAAAATATTAAAACATCACCAGATCTTTAGTATACAAATGAAATGGGAGTTTTCTTAGCGAAGTCTTTTTTGATCGAGTCCCCGGGTATTACAAAACATACGGACAAACTGCTATTGTAACAGCAAAAGACGCTGTCACTGTCGACCGTCGATAAAAGATTGTCTATTTAGTTAAATGATGCTGGGAAGATTGTCCGTTACTTACTCATAAATCTTCAGAAGATCGCATGTGTGTGCCATATTGGTTCCTCAACTGTTTTTGGAGACTCGAGTATGTGTATCAATGAAATTTCTGAATTGTAGAGACGCTGTTTTAGACACTTCAATTGACGTTATCATCCGTGCGCCGTAAGGCTATACAATGCATGAAATCTCATAATTTGTTTATTTATGCATATATCTATTTGAAATTTGCTATGTTTATTCATAAAATATGTTCTAAAGAGTAGTGCGAATTTCAGAACGTAGTGATGATAATTTTTCTCACCAGACAACTTGTCTACGATTTTATCGGACAACCCTCGAATTTCAGGCATTGTTAAATGATTTCATAAAGAGTGTAACTTGAATGTACTCTGTCATGATTGAACCTGGGAGGAAATAACGCAGATTCTGTTAATTAAATATCCTAACCAAAATGATATTTATGATCAAAACAAGATATTATTTCATACAAAGAAAAAAAGATGTGTTTGTGAAACACTGATGCCCCCGTATGACAACATATCAAAGATTAAAATTTTCTTTAATGCAAATTTAATAATATATTGGTACCAAAAGTAGGGTATTCCCACTGGAAATACAATTGTGAAATATGAAAGTAGGCTAAGGTTAAAATTTTCATAAGTACAGAAAACTTCAAGGTCATTGGTATCCAATAAAAGGTCTTGCCACAGAAAATACATATGTAAAGTATGGAAGCTCTAACCCTTACCGTTCAGAAGTTATGACCAAGGTTGAAATTTTAAAAAAGTAGGTCAAACTCCAAGGTCAAGGTCAAAGGGTCAAATGTCTTGCTATTAAATGAAAGCTTTGTCACAAGGATTGAATATGTAAAATATGAAAGCATTAGCCCTTACCCTTTAAAAATTATGTTCAAGGTTTGCTTTATAAAAGTAGGTCAAACTTCAAGGTCAAGATCAAAGGTCAAAGTTCTTGGTATCCAATGAAGGGTCTTTTTACAAGGATTATATACTAGTATGTGAAGTATAAAAGCCCTATCCCTTACGGTTCAAAAGTTTTTTCACAAGTATAAAAATCTCATAGGTCAAAAGGTTAAGATTATTGCAGCCCGGAGGACCGGGCTGCTCTATACATATAAGTTTAAATGTTGGTGCATGGAGATTGGGGTGGGAGTAGTTATTGAGAATTAAAGGTTTTCTAAACATTGAAAAGATTGTTAATCAGAATGTTCTAAATTACGAGATACATAATATATTTACTTCCATAAAGTGAATCTGTAAAAATAGATATCCTTTACATATTTAGTATAAAAAGTTGCTTAACATTTACTATCGAAAAAACGACAGATCCCTTTTTTTAGAACATCGAATTTTACTTCTCGCATAAAAACGTACTCTGCAAAATTCATGTTTCAAATTCTTAAATTGAAATGTAATACATTTTTGAATATAGGTGATGCATGTGTCTAACTTCAATTTATAATTCATGCAGTCAACATTTACATGAGGAATTGATCAAGTTTAAAATGGTATCGTTTTTGTTTGATTTTTATTCGACTATAAGTTTTCAAAATATTCGCGACTATCGTCGCCATCAATTAGACGCATGCCTTTTCACACATATCACAGCGGTTTGATGATCAAGTCTCCTTTCCATTGTTTACTTTATATATTTCCCGGGCGACAATTGATGGTTACATCAATGTTTACTTGTTGGTATCCAGTGGAAGGTCTTGCCACAAAGGATGCATATGTGAAGTAAAAATGTCCTGGTTACTACAGTTCAAAAGATATGGCCAAAGTAAAAGTTTGGAATTTTTGTGTCTAAGTGGGTCAAACTGCAAGGTCAAGGTCAAATTTGATGGTACCCAAAGAAAGGTGAAGTAAAAATGTCCTGGTAACTACTGTTCAAAAGATATGGCCAAAGTAAAAGTTTGGAATTTTTGTGTTTAAGTGGGTCAAACTGCAAGGTCAAGGTCAAATTTGATGGTACCCAAAGAAGGGTGAAGTAAAAATGTCCTGGTAACTACTGTTCAAAAGATATGGCCAAAGTAAAAGTTTGGAATTTTTGTGTTTAAGTTTGTCAAACTGCAAGGTCAAGGTCAAATTTGATGGTACCCAGAGAAAGGTCTTGTCAGAAGGAATACACATGTGAAATATGAAAATCATAGCTCCACTAAATCAAAAGTTATGGGAAAGGTTAAAGTTTTTGCGGACAGAGAGACAGACAGACGGACGGACACGACAAAAACTATATACCCCCGAAACTTCATTGACGGGGGCATAAAAAACAAGAAGAGAACAGAAGGCATGTGTGTGTTGTCCCCACCCCAATGGATCGCGCAATTCTGGTATTCTATCTACTAGTATTTGAGATCCAGTTATCCGAGGGTCTTATCATAAACAAGATTTAGTGTCGCTAATTGGTGTGAATAATACGTCGCTAAGTGGCTAAAATGTCAATGCATACATCACTAACAAACGAAGACAATCGTGATTTCAAACCTCGAACTACATTACTATGAAAATATTGGGCAAAATGTGTATGAGAAAAAGGGAGGAAATTGTTCAAAATTAAATACACATGTACCCATTTATTTGATAAATAATATGATAAAAGAAGAAATGACAAATTAACTACTGGATTTCCCTTTTTAAAAGTATTTTTGACAGATGTAATTTATCAGACATGTTTTTTAAGCAAATTTTTCAGAAAATAAAATGGATAACTGAAACGACAGCTGTTAAGACCAGTGCATTCAAATATTAACAATGGTAAAGCTCAGAGATCTTCATAAAATTTGAATTATAGGATTTTAAATCCAATTTTGGTTTGACTTTGGGATGGGTCTGCACGGCTAGGAAAGCTCGTTCCCCGGGTAGTGAGGGGTGCATGGTATATATATAGACTAAAGAAGTACCGTGAACCAAAGCAGCATAATGAAAAGACACCCTGATAGAAAACAACAAGCCCTCCAAGACTGGGGGTTGTACAGGAGGCCGACTTCCTCCTGCCCCCCAAAACAGTTGCAGAAACAATAGACATCAAACGGCAAGGAAGACCGAGTGAAGCAGGACAGCTAATAGACGATGTGGGATGAGAGCCTTTAAGAAAGCTCAGCATCCGAGAAGATCCCCTGTGACAAACAAACGTTCATCATTGGTCACTGGGGTGCAATATCTATGTACAGGGGAGGGGCACAGATTGCGTGAAAAATAGAGGGATACCAGCTGGACATTTTGGGGATCAGTGAGTGCAAATTGACTGGAGCTGTGAAGATGAGACTGGCCTCGGGGCAGACCCGTTATATACAGCAGGGATGAAACACTTTATAAGAGAGAAGTGGTAATAATGATCAAGAAGCAAGCAATGAAATCACTCATTATGGACACCGATCAACAAGATTCTATACAACAAGATACTGGAGAGTGTCGGTAATCCACGTACATGTGTACCACACATTGAAAAGGA